GTTTCCATATTCAGTCATTTTCACATTATATTTACTCTCAAGATTTTGCCCCTTGCAGAGGATATTCTTACTTTGACGGGGTATCGGAAGAGCTTCACATATCCAAAATCATCGCCAGTTGCCAAGACTTTGCCGTCGTTGGTGAGCGTAGCGGCCGTCACATCGCTGACCTCTCCGATCACTGGCCAGATGCCCTCACAGCTCGGACCCAGGACACTAGTCCACGAGGACCAGGAGATCTTCTCTACCTAAGGAATAGAAAACTCAGTATACAGAGGTGTGTGTTGTCCTCTAAATGGGCCTATAGATAAGAACCCCCCTACTGCCCATACTGCTCTCCTACAGAAGCTACTCCCTGCTTCAGGATCTCATGACGACTTATCATGACATTTGGCCATGTGACATCCCAGTTCTCTTTGTAGACTACAGACCACCTCCACGCCCATGTTACGGAGTTGAGGAGGGGGGAAAGGAGTTCTGTAATCCTATCACACTTTCTGTCCTAGTGTGACAATGCTGCCCCTCCATGGATACAGTACAGTAAGTGAACGTTGTCACCCTATCACAGAAAGTGTGTTACTAGCAGGATCGCCAAGGGAAGATAAAGCAAAAAAAGAAACCTAATGCAGCTATTAGCTGTAGAAGAGATGGAACCGTATTCAGTTTCAAATAATTAGACCAGTGGGGGCTGAAAAGAAGGAGCAAGAGGGCACATGTGGTCCGAAAAAATGCCAGTTTGACAGGCCAGTGCTAAAGAAACCCTGTACTTTGCCCAGTCAGGCTGCAGTAACAGGCTTGCTTTACAGCACAGAAGCTAAGGGGTAAATACTCCTCATCTACTTGTTGCAATGCCGATTTCACCAGATCCCTGAGAAGAACCCGCTTCATGGGACCATCTCCCCTGCCTCCTCACCATGCAGTCAGGTACCTTCCCCGAGCACTGTTACAGGAAGGCGGAGGAAGGGTCCTCACTTTGTGTAAGCTGTGAATCAGTGTTGGGTTGGAACTTGCACACCAATTTATCAGGTAACTCCAGAGAGTGAAATGGGGTGTCGGGGAGCACATGGGTGTGCTCTACCTGCTCCAAAGAGGACCTGTTACGTTCCCCTTAATGGGCAGTTCAGTGTGAATGTACAGGTTTGATATAAGCAGAGATCACATGACCAAATGGCTTTAATCTGGTCATGTGCCTGTCCATCTCTGGATCCTGGAGGCCTTGTGCCTCTAAAGGAAAAAGGTGGGTAAGATTTATTTTTTTTGGGGGGGGGGGGTTTATTTAATTATAGTCCCATTTAACAAACAAAAAATTGAACGGTGTGGGGATTAGCTCCAAATGGTAGCGCATTAAGGACGGAGTCCGCTCGCAAACATGTTCTTTTCAGGGCTTCCTGCCCACTTTTGTTTAAACATAAGTTCACAAACCTAAAGTAATTACCCTCGCAGGGGTTCTTTAGCATCCCTTGGCAGCACATGCCCATCCAGCCTTCTGGCTTTGGATTTGCAGAACCGCTGCTCCGGCCTCGGGCCACTGTCTGTTCCTCCAGACAGCCTCAGTCGTGTGCTAACCTGCACCCTGGGGGTTCTTCCAATCCGCAGCACCCTGCTGCCCTGGCCTCCACCCTGACTCCCGGGGGGAGCTTTCCTGTCTCCCAGGTGGAGCTTTCCTGTCTCCCGGGTGGAGCTTTCCTGTCTCCCAGGTGGAGCTTTCCTGTCTCCCGGGTGGAGCTTTCCTGTCTCCCGGGTGGAGCTTTCCTATCTCCCGGGTGGAGCTTTCCTGTCTTGGCTTCCTTGCCCACTTTTATTAAAGCAAAGTTCACAAAACAGAACATTTACCCTCACAGGGGTTCTTTAGCATCTCATGGCAGCACCTGCCCCTCCAGCATCCTGGCTTTGCATTTGCCGCACCGCTGCTCTGGCCTCAGCCCACTGTCTGTACCTCCAGACAGTCGTGTGCTAACCTGCAACCTGAGGTTTCTTCAATCCGCAGCACCCTGCTGCACTGGCCTCCAATCTGTCTCCCAGTGGGAGCCTTCCTGTCTCCCAGGTGGAGCCTTCCTGTCTCCCAGGTGGAGCTTTCCTGTCTCCCGGGTGGAGCTTTCCTGTCTCCCAGGTGGAGCTTTCCTGTCTCCCGGGTGGAGCTTTCCTGTCTCCCGGGTGGAGCTTTCCTGTCTCCCAGGTGGAGCTTTCCTGTCTCCCAGGTAGAGCCTTGAACCCTTTCCAACACCTTTATTTTAAAGTCTGTGCACACCTGTGCCATCAGCACGCGCTGGCCACTCAAATTCTGGACACAGGAATGGAGATAACACAGTGGCATTACTACGCAATGCCACAACGGATACCCTTTATAAAATAACCAAAACACCCTTAAATGTCAGCTAAGAGCACCGAGTCCCCCATCAGACTTATGAACAACTGAAGTGTCAGAGCAGATATTAAAATTTTCTGCTCATCAAATATTGATACAATGTAAACATTGTATCAATACAATGATACAATAAGAGGTCACATGACACCTCGCATACACTGCATTCATTTATAGGTCACTTTAGTAACGTTGTTTTTGTTTCCTCGCCACACACAAAACATTTTAGGAATAAAAGAGAAAACATATTTGGTTTTCAATGAACTTTCCACTGACACAGAAATAGTTTTCCTACCTCTTGGGCCGGGATCATTTGTCTCTTTCCTCGAGGGGCTTCAAAAAACAGCTGTTCCTTGGCCCCGGTGTTCACCTGTATCAGCTTCCCTGAGGACACAGCAGAAAGCACAATGAGTGCCAGTTGTAAAACAATGTGGTGACCAACAGGGCACATTACAGCTGGTTGCTGGGTACAAGTGTAATGTTTAGATATGGCTGTCAATGATAGTTAAATGTTTTAGCCAGCTGTTGAATTCACAGTTCTGATATAACAGGTACAGCTCCTGTGTGTGCCAAGCACATTAAACCTTTCATAACCTAAAAGGCAATATCAGCAAAACCCTACACAGATGACCAACTCTGTCATCTATATAACCCAAATATATAACCCAACTGTATCATCTATGACCCAACTCTACCATCCAAATAACCCAACTGTATCATTGGTAACTCAACTCTATCATCCAAATAACCCAACTGTATCATTGGTAACTCAACTCTATCATCCAAATAACCCAACTGTATCATTGGTAACTCAACTCTATCATCCAAATAACCCAACTGTATCATTGGTAACTCAACTCTATCATCCAAATAACCCAACTGTATCATTGGTAACTCAACTCTATCATCCAAATAACCCAACTGTATCATTGGTAACTCAACTCTATCATCCAAATAACCCAACTGTATCATTGGTAACTCAACTCTATCATCCAAATAACCCAACTGTATCATTGGTAACTCAACTCTATCATCCAAATAACCCAACTGTATCATTGGTAACTCAACTCTATCATCCAAATAACCCAACTGTATCATTGGTAACTCAACTCTATCATCCAAATAACCCAACTGTATCATTGGTAACTCAACTCTATCATCCAAATAACCCAACTGTATCATTGGTAACTCAACTCTATCATCCAAATAACCCAACTGTATCATTGGTAACTCAACTCTATCATCCAAATAACCCAACTGTATCATTGGTAACTCAACTCTATCATCCAAATAACCCAACTGTATCATTGGTAACTCAACTCTATCATCCAAATAACCCAACTGTATCATTGGTAACTCAACTCTATCATCCAAATAACCCAACTGTATCATCTATGACCCAACTCTACCATCCAAATAACCCAACTGTATCATTGGTAACTCAACTCTATCATCCAAATAATCAAATTATATCACCTAAATAATCCAACTAGATCAACCCAAACTGTTTCATCTATATACCCCAACTGTATTATATGGACCTTACTCTATTATCTATATAATCCAACTCTATCATCTGTGACCCAACTCTATCATCCATAAATCCAACTCTGCCATCTATATAACCCAACTGTATCATCTGTGACCCAATTCTATCATCCATAAATCCAATTCTCATCTATATAACCCAACTGTATGATCTATATAACCCAACTGTATCATCTTTGACCCAACTCTATCATCCATAAATCCAACTCTATCATCTATATAACCCAGGTCTATGATCTATTTAACCCAACTCTATCATCTATGGCCCAACTCTATCATCCATAAATTCAACTGTATCTTCTATATAACCCTAGTATATCATCTATATAACCCTAGTATATCATCTATGTAACCCAACAGTATCATTGGTAACTCAACTCTATCATGCAAATAATCAAACTTTAGTCAACTGTATCATCTATATACCCGAACTGTATTATATGGACCTTACTATATTATCTATATAATCCAACTCTATAATCAATAAAACCCAACTCTATCACCTATATCCTAACTCTTATCATCAACACTATCATTTGTGACCCAATGGCATAATCCATAACATCCAATTATATCATATATGTAACCCAAATCTATCATCTATATATCCCAAACTATTAACTATATAATCCAATTATATAATCTATATATCCAAACTAAAATCACCTATGACCCAATTATATCACTTACATACTCAAACTAAATAATCTAAATAAACCCAATTATATCATCTATATAACCCAACTATATAATCTATACAACCAAACTACATCATCTATGACCCAAATATATCATGTTATATATTGTAACTTCTGTTTAGAGGTTCTTCCTGAAGTGGTCACTGACCTCGGGAGTCCCAGTCAAGGTGGGTGATGTAGCTTGTGGACCCCTTGCACACTCCAATACGTTTACTGTTCATCACATTGTAAATATCCACAAAGTTGTCATAGGAAGCGACGGCCAGGTATTTACCAGAACCTGAAACTAAAAATCATATTTTCAGCAGGTTCAGACCCGAGTTACATTCTGGAAATAGCCCAATCCGTGTCTGCCCAGCTTTCTGCTCACCAGGGGAGAAGCGAATGTCGGAAATCACGTCCTTCCTGTGGTGAAATGACACCAAGTCCTCCAGCGTGTCCGCGTTGACGATTAAAAAACTTCCGTCGTTTAGACCGACGGCCAAAGCCTTTCCGTCTGGAGAGAAAGAACAGCACCGACCACCTGGGGGCAGCAGAGAGACAGAGACAAGTGACGACACTCAGACACTGAGACAGATAAACTTGCATAAGCAGCTATGGGCCTTAAGGTACTCATTCCACATATGAATTCAAAAGTTCCAACCTGCAGTCTGTATCACCCCCGATATCATAGTTACCTTTCTTCAGTTTGCGCACGGCGAGCATGCAGTGGCTGGGGGAGAGGTCCCAGATGCGGAGGGTCCTGTCATCGCTCACAGTGGCACAGATGGGTAAATGTGGGTGGGTGGCCAAACCCCAAACCTCTCCCTCCATGTGTCCCTGGGGAGCAAAAGATGGTGTTAGCAGAGATTCCCGACTATAGGGTACAACAGCCAGGCCACGTGTTGTGCTGCACTCACCTGAACCAGGAGGGTGACCGGTCCACTCTTATCTACCTCCAGGATCTCTCCGTTCTTTGTTCCCACCAGGATATGGCCGTGTCCCAGAGATATGGCACGGATAGAAGGGTTATCTTCTAATAGGAGCCCTAAAATGGAAGTGCATAACAAGTATACAATTTATTAAATATGTCGGTAATAATTTCCTTCATTTGTCTTGTGAGTCCTCCCTCAGATACTGACCCAGATTCATTAAAGGAGAACTATGAGGTTATACTGAGCCTAGGGTGACGGGAGGACCCTAGTTTCTGTCCTCCTGTTACCCTAAGGAGAACTATGGGGAAAAGCCTTAACCCCATAGTTCTCCTTTAAGCTTAAAGTAGATGGAAATCCAATTGCTAAAATCTCATATAAGCGTTAGGAGGTTCATGTCATTTTAAAAGCAATATTCAATATTGATACATTTGCAGCTTTTATTCAATTGATCCCTGGGGATCCTAACATGAGTCCCTGTTCAGCCACTTCCTGTTATAGAGTGACAACGTTCTGCCCAATTCCCTATACGTACTCAATGCCAAAATCAATGCCAGACCAGTGCGGCCAGGTTAGCATAGGGCGCCAAGCAACAGCTCACCTTTAGAACCGGGAGCCAGTGCGGCTCTCTTGATTGCGTAGGTTTTGAGGCATCGCTCGAAGGAGTCATCCCACAAGGCGACCACGCCATCTTTTCCTCCGGTCACAAAACCCTGACACCACAAACATGAAGATGTCACTGTGCTCACCTTCCATATAGAGCAGAAATACAGAGAACGTGTCTAGAAAAATCTCCTTTAATATCAGGGTGATGGTTGTAATATTGGTACTCCCCTACAGAATATGTCAGAGCTACATACATGTATAATATTAGTGTATGACAGTGAGGGGACATTAGAGTGTAAGCTCCTCTGTACAGAGACTGATGTGACTGTGGGGGAGGGGACATTAGAGTGTAAGCTCCTCTGTACAGAGACTGATGTGACTGTGGGGGAGGGGTCATTAGAGTGTAAGCTCCTCTGTACAGAGACTGATGTGACTGAGGGGGGTGGGGGTATAAAGTGTAAGCTCCTCTTTACAGAGACTGATGTGACTGTGGGGGGAGGGGACATTAGAGTGTAAGCTCCTCTGTACAGAGACTGATGTGACTGTGGGGGAGGGGACATTAGAGTGTAAGCTCCTCTGTACAGAGACTGATGTGACTGTGGGGGAGGGGACATTAGAGTGTAAGCTCCTCTGTACAGAGACTGATGTGACTGTGGGGGGACATTAGAGTGTAAGCTCCTCTGTACAGAGACTGATGTGACTGTGGGGGGTGCATTAGAGTGTAAGCTCCTCTGGGACAGAGACTGATGTGACTGGCACAGTGCTCTCTGTACAGCGCTGCGGTATATGTCAGAGCTATATAATAATAGTGTGTGACTGTGGGGGGACATTAGAGTGTAAGCTCCTCTGGTACAGAGACTGTTGGGTCTTGTTCAGTGTTCTCTGTAGAGCACTGCGGTATATGTCAGTGCTATATACTGTACTGTACATCTTCTGAGTCCACTTGGTCATCTGTGAATATACAGCAGACATCCATTGTTATGTGTTAGATGGAATAAAGCCCCGGCCGTGTTTTCTCACCTTATCCAGGGCGTGCATGCTGAATACGGGACCGTCGTGAGCCTTCACCGTCTTCATGAGGAACAGATCCCTCCATATACACACATCTCCTGAGGAGGTCCCAGAAAAGGACATCTCTTCCGTCCATCCGTACACTGCGCACATCATGGTGTCAATCTTTGTGCCGCTTCCCATGCAAGCTTTGCGTCCGACCAGCCCGCCGCCTGCAGTGCAACAAGATCTTGTGTTCTTATAGACAATTGTACAGCAACATCATTATAATCGCCCCCCGCAGTCATCGTCCGTCTGTCCACTGACGCATTTTAGAGTAGATCGCTAGATTATTTTAAAGTAGCTTGCCCAGACACTTCAAGAAGAAACAAAATGCAATACTTAAATGACCTAATTCGAACCTGAACCGAACCGAAGAGTCATCCAACCCACTTCCTGCAAGCCCAGGCTGTCATAGACCCGCACCATTGGTGGGTCTCACCACTTAGGCCAAGGCTCGTAGTAGAGAGAGCTGTGCTGACGATACCCTCTGTGTTGTTCTATGCAGTATAACATTCTGTGTACTGGCGGGAACACTCTGACTGTGCTCCGGAGCAAGGTTCTGGAATGGCAGCCAATTATTAGGTTGCAGCCTCCTTATTGCCTCTGATTGGAGTTTTACAGCTGAAGCTCCCCCATGGACACACTGTATAGATACCCAAGCATTGCAATTTAGCTCCTTGTCAGGCTACAGGTCCTCTTTTTCACTCACCTGCACGCCGCCAAAACTTCATGTGCTTCACACCAGCGGTGATCAGCTTGTCAGGCATATAGGGGTTAATCTTCACCACGAAAATCTTGTCTTTACTTCCTCTGAAAGATAAAAGATCGGAAGGACAGAAGGGGATGATGACGTTCCTCTAGTCACACGAATGGCTGAACGTACAAGACCATTTATAATTTCAGTGCTGAATATGACTTTTCTTTCCACATATCCTCCATGGTGGCCGGGCTGGATTGACCCTCTCTGCTTCCCCAATGCCGGGTTCCTCAATGCGCCCCCCTGTATGCAGGCTGCATACAAGTGATCTCGCTGACATCGCCGGGATCACTTGTACAGAACTTCCCCGCTGTACATTTAGCTCGGCTTGCCCAAAGCAGGGCTAAAGGTAGAAAACAACTACCCGCCCGGCGCCCGGAACTGCATGTCCCGGGCGTCGTAAGATAGGAATTCCACACCCCCTGCTGCCCCTCTACTCCCTGCTGTCCCAAGGCCGGGCCTCGGTTGGCCTTGTGGGAAATCCGGCCCTGCATGCTGGTCATCAGCCCGGGCAAAATGTCCTTCTCTTTCTTATATCTTTTCTTGTATGAACCATAGAAGCCTTTCTCAGCCTTTTACCAAGGAGTAGCCCTTTAAATAATTGTCTGGTCTTAGGGAACACCCAGCTAAATTTTACCTCCAACTTACTGTATGTGATCAGTAATTTGCACACTGGTGGTCAGTATGGAAAACCCCCCTTGAGTTGGTGGTTAGTAAGGAATTGTCCCCTTCTCTTGGTGGTCAATGTAGAAATGAACCCTTACATTAGTGGTCAGTAAGGATGACATTGGTGCTCAGTTGAGAATTGACCTCTTAGTTTTGTGAAGTCAAGGCACCTGGACTGGCTGTATTTTTCTGGAAGACGTTTAACTGATCATCCAACCAGTCTGAATCTGAGAAAGCTGGTCGGCTGACCAGCAAAACGTCTTCAAGAAAAATACAGCAAGTCCAGTTGCCTTGACTTATTTTACTCTCGCGTGAAGATTTGGCACGACTGACATCTCCTTAGTGGTGAACGGAAGGTCCCGGAGCAGTAAAATAGTGTAACACAAAGGCTTACTCTTGGATCTCACATCTAAGGGAACGCAGGGACTGCACCTAACATTTCACACGGTGCTAGGACCGAGCGCGGCACCGACGCTCATTTGCCAAATTTGCTGCCATGGGTTTTGTTCAACATCTTCAGAGCAGAAGCAGGTAACAATCCACAATTAGGTTGTCAGACTCCCTGTAATGCAGTATCCAGCTGACCCGCCTTCTCCTAACAGAGCTGAGATTCTGATTTATTCCATCTCTGCGGATCAATGATTCTCATAAACAAAAGTTGTCGAATGTTTCCGGAAGTACCTAACAGACGATAACTTCTCTCCTTTCTTCCAGTCCCACAGGACGACGGTGTGATTGTCATCGATGCCAGCTGAGGCCAGGCGCTTCCCGTCCGCTGCAAGAGGAGGAAGAGAATTATAATGACATCACTGCACCCCGAGAATACGGGGGAGTCCTGAGAACACCAATCCACAGCCGGGAACAATAATGACGTATCTGTCAGGAAATATATCTTTAGTAATACATTTTGATACATTTTATTAACAATCAAAGTATACAGTATATACAGAGTATTACAAATATTCTGGGCAAAATGATGATTTAATAGTAAGCAGAACCCGAGTTCACCTTCACGTGTTAAATATTAGCTTTAAAGTAAATAGAAATGCAGTGGCGTCACAAGGGGGGTGCGGCCCGCCCCCGGGTGACACCATTGGAGGGGTGACACCAAAATGACTGACAGCCATCTTGGTGTCGACCCCTCTAAAAAGTCGGGCACTCGGTCATCCATTGGGATACAGCCAGGTAGCCCTCGGAAACGTGTGTTTGTCGCGCGTTTTTTCCCCCCGCGAATCGTGGTAAAAACACGCGTCAAACGCACATATTCGATACGCCTAGGTGTGAACCCATACTAACCCCGAGGCTGGGACTTAGTATACAGGCGCTGAGCAGAATCTTCTATTTGCTGACAATGTTGATGTTGTCATTCTGCTGAATATAATGCGTTTTATTTGTTGGTTTGTGGAAAAGAATAAAAGTTTATTTGCTGATACAGCCGGCTACGGGTCATATCCGCCCTGAATATTACACCATGTGCGGATATAATTACAATGTATCAATGTGTGTGAATGTCCTACGAGCCTTCGTCCTATATATAGGATTACTTACATCAGGCTGACCTCTTTTGCATCTAGACTCAGGTGTACAGATGACGGCGCTGCCTCGCTACAAAATATTCCCCGCGAAACAATCGTCTTCACTTATAATAAAACCAACAGAAGACTAAGTGTAATTGATGCAATAATGCGACTCGGCGGAGTGAGACGAACGGCGCGACGTCCCTGGCATAGTAAGGAGGACATGTGACACACGAAGGGGAGCACCGCCTGCCCGGCTCGGCATCCATCAATGCGGAATATCCCCGCCAGCCGAGCCATTGATGGATCATTAGACGTAATGAGAGGAACGATATGGATCCGAGCCAAAGATGAATCCGTTCCTTGTAATGACGTCAATTGACTGCAACTGGAAGCTGACCCGTTCCCCCGGCTCGCTGTTTACATATGAAAATATCTCAATGCACAGAGCCGGCCGGTTCCCATCCACTGCACAGGGGCCCCAGCAAGAGGAAGAGTTCAGAACCCCTTAGCTCCCGATCTATTGAGCCGACCTGTGACAGGCTCATTGTCACAGGTCGGCTCCAACTATGAGGATGAGTAGAAATAACTCATCTCATAGATCTCCTTTAAGTAACTATGAGAAAAAATTCCTTGTCCTTGGAAAGGATTCAGCACTCGGAGAAGACCAAATCCCGTCATTAAAGGAGAACTATGGGGTTAAGGCTTTTCCCCATAGTTCTCCTTCGGGTAACGGGAGCACACAAACTAGCGTTCTCCCGTCACCCTAGGCTCAGTATATAGGGAGCTACAGCTCGCGGTATACTGCGACGCCGCAGCTGAAGCGGATCCCGACAATTGTGCCGGGATCCGCCCAGCTGCGTGACTGACAGCCTTTAGATAGGCAGAGCCAGCTGTACCCGCCCCCTCCCCCGTCCGAATCCAGCCCCTCCCCGGTCAGGGCAGAGAGCCGTGAAAGGATCGAGAGGTGAGCGAGCGCCGGTATGTGTTCCCTCACCTCCCGATCTACTGAGCCGACCTGTGACAGTCTCATTGTCACAGGTCGGCTAGAACTATGAGGTGAGTGAAAAGCACCCCCCTCATAGTTCTCCTTTAAAATCTAAATCAAGGACAGGTAGCAGGAGAGTTGTCTGCATTCTTTCCTCTAGGGATGCACTGATACCGATATTTTTTTCTCGGTACTCACCGATGCCGAATACCGGGACCGGAAGTCCCGTTAAGGAAGCCAGGCGGCATGTAAAGACTCGCCACTCGGCTTCCCGATTAGCAGCAAAGTGACGAGGGAGCATGAAGCCGGCTTCCTGGCCAATCAGAGAGCTGAGCGCAGCGTCATTACACGGCGCCCCGGCTTTTCCTGATTGGCCAGCTTCCCGACCGATTAAGAAACCGGGCAGCAAGTCATTACACACTTGCGTGGACGGAGCATGGAGCCGGCTTCCCGGGCAATCAGGAAGTCGGGCAGTGTGTAATGACTTACTGCCTGGCTTCCTCATACCGGAACCTCAGGTATCGGGCTAGGCATCTGAGCATTTGGGCGAGTACGAGTACTCGCCCAAATACTAGGCATCGGCACCGATATCGATACTAGTATCGGTTTCGTTGCATCCCTACTCTCCTCCTATACATCTGATGCCAGTTCTTTTTGATTTGGATAATGTCATAGGGGGTACAGGGTCAACAGCAACTTCTGCAATGCTTCATGGGGCCCCCTTCTATCCCTAGGCCCCATAGCAGCCACACGGCCTGCTAAGGCTATTGTTACGCCCCTGAGCGGAGAGGGGTTGTCTTCATCGTAGGCTTTAGGTTAGTTTTATGGATTTAAAGGCATACAATGGATCATATAAATAGGAAAAAAATATTAAATGAACATAAACCACATGTACAAACAGCCCCAGGTGGCAAAAGTAGTTCGTACTTTATTTTAAAGGAGAACTATGGGGTTAAGGCTTTTCCCCATAGTTCTCCTTAGGGTAACGGGAGGACACAAACTAGCGTCCTCCCGTCACCCTAGGCTCAGTATACTGCGAGCTGTAGCTCGCGGTATACTGAGACGCCGCAGTATACCGCGAGCAGCTGCTCGCGGTATAATTAGACGCTGCAGCTGAAGCGGATCCCGACAATTGTGCCAGGATCCGCCCAGCTGCGTGACTGACAGCTGGCTCTGCCTATCTAAAAGGCAGAGCCAGCTGTACCCGCCCCCT